AGAATTTTCTTGAACCTCATCTCCAAGAACTACACAAGAGTAGTTACATTATGTTACATCCTCCAAGAAATTCCGGATGATCTGAACCTACATTTGTACTTAGCAGGCAAAGCACCATAAAAGCTTCGAGTTGGTCAGCCTGCAGAAATCTTATTTTTCCAAGACTCATTGCAAATTATACATAGGCACCTGATAAAGTGGACAGTGGATTGTGGATGCTGAATCTTTCATTATCCTTTTATCCATGTTCCAAAGGCGTAGGACGGATCGCTTTGTACCTCTGACCTGTAAGGCAGCCACCCCCCCATACCCCCCCCCCCCTTAACGGCACAGAACTCATTGTCGTCGTCTGAGAATGGCAGCCATACCATGATTTGGGGCCATTCTTCTGAAATAGTTTATTTTACAAGGAATGGAGTTAGTTTTTATCAGGGACCATTGTCTAAGAATAATATTGTTTTTTCTCAAATAACGTTCTACTGGAGACCTAGACTAAAGAAAAGACACCGTGTTGAGTTGAAACTGTGATGCGTGGGGACAGCATCGTTGGGTAAAGGTAAGAGGTCAAAGGGACGAGCAGCAGTGAAGCCCGGTTGGACGCGGGCCGGGCTCCCCATCTGAACTCTGCGTCCTTTCTTTACAACAAAGATACTTTCTCTCTGCTCAGATAACGCAGTTTATAATTTGGCAAAGACTCTTGGCGAACACCAATATGCTCGTTTTCACATGTTGAATTTATGATTGTCTTATATGCTGCAATCTTTGGAGAAATAATTACCAAAGCTTCAAATCATTGGCAATGTGTACACATGTATTTTATATCATTCAGCTGCCCTCTTTGTGCAAGTAGTTGCTGCCTCCACAGGATCCTGAAATCTCGCAGTCACCCCAAAACAGACTCTGACTGTCCGTATGATTCAGCAGTGTGCGGGTTTCTCAGTGTAATGCTTAATCACGGGCAAAACTGGACCTCTCTCAAAGGGATGTCATGCAACCGGTCACTGCCATGCTTTCTCTTAATCCTTGCCATTATTTCATCCATCACTATCACAACTGCACTGCTCACATTCACTGTTGTCTTGCAAAGCATTCTTAAAAACACACGATTTTTTTCCTGCCTTCGACCCACACAAATGCGTGCATTTTTGTACTAATCCTTTGTGCATGCATGCAGGCCACGTTTTAAAATATAATATGATATTTCCCTTCCCTGGATATTAAAAACTGGTCCCTCTTTTCTCTTCTTATCAGAGTGTGTGGTGTCATATCTAGAGTAACAACTGTTCCTTAGCATTATGTTTCGAACCAGTGCTAATCTATTTTCTCGTTGCTTATGGCTTTTATTAACACTATTGTGTATGTAGTAGAGGACCTAAGCTTCTTTGGGGGGAAGAAATCTCAAAAGTGTTTCATTGAGAATTCATTTCCTATAGGTTAATGGAAAGCAATAAGTATAAACAATAAAAAAAAATCCCTTTGGGCCCTATTTTATTCTTCCTCAAGAGTGTAACTTTTGCCAAAAATGCTTTTATTTCTGGTCCGCTTCACTCTTCCGATAAAGCATAAGACATCTCTTCAGAGCGTCTTCTCTGACTAAGTATGTCGGCATGTGTTGAATTACAGTACACGGTTTATTTCTTCCAAAGACAGTGGAAATGCGTGATTGTTGATTTGATGTATTGCTTCTGGTTATTAGCAAGGTCTCAGGGTGGCAGAAGCCATGTTGATTTCCTTCACCATCATCACAGAGTCGCAGGGCCCAAAGGGATGGAGAGTCACCCGGGTCCACCAGCTGCTACCGGAGCATGAGAAGCCAGGGTGAGTGGGCTTGTGGAGGAGAGAGGGGACAGGGCCCTTGGAGAGCAGTCAGACTGCACAAAGAGGCGAGGTTTGTACCAGGAACAGACAGCACAGGGTGGCTGATGCGTGGGACAGGGAAGCAGGTGACAGAGAAGGATGGAGGGATAGACAAGCCACAGACCCAGCAGCTCCTCTGACTTCACTCCTACCACAATGTCAGCTCGGCCATTGGTCACAAGCACTGAGGGAGATGTATGACCTCTCTGTTTCCTTTTACACATGAGGACATGGGTCAAGGTCAGTTCATGTCATTTGTCCAAGGTCATCTGTTCAGGACGTGACAGAGTCAGAACTTGAACCAGCAGAGCCTGGAGCCCAGTGTCTTACACATTCAGCTTCTCTTTAGCAAGAAAACAGAATAGGTTTAGTAATATTATCTACGCATCACATGCCCATCAGCTTTTACTGTGGTTCTGTCCTGCAGTCAGAGGTCCTTGGCCGCCCTTGTGCAACCTGATTGTATGAACATTCTTAGTAGCGTTACTGAGGTGTAACTGATACAATATAGCGCCCGTACTTAATGCATATGATCTGATGCCTCGGACATATGCACCCTAATCAAGGTAACAAACATATCCGTCACCTCCTGCAGTTTCCTTGTGACCTGCCCCCCTCTGTGGTGAGAACAACGCAAAAGTCAGAAGAAGAAACCAAAAAGTCAGTAGTATTTAAGTATTTTTTTTTTCATACGTGCTACCTCCACTGACAAATACGTTTGCAATCATCTGAAGTAAAACATGAGAGTGTGCACTATGTGTAGGGAAAATAAATGATTTAATAAATACCCGGGAGAATTCAATATCCCTGTATATGCTTGCTTAGAAAACACTTTAGAATAAGAAATATGATTCAGGCTCAAGGACTGAGTGATTAAACCCAACTCAGTTGTGTTTAGTCAGATGTGAAAAATACACAGTTAATTGGTAGGCAAGACCTCAGTGCACCAGGATTCAATTATAGAGTCTTCAAAATACTAGTGAACCCAAAGTTAATGAGACAGTTTTACAGACATTACAATTTTAAGGTACTGATTTATTTTGAAAAAGTGGCAAGGAGAAATTTAATATGCTGAAACATATTTCTGTCTTCATTTTGGAATTTCAATTAAAAGGAATAATTTATTACACAGTGAATAATGAATATATATGTGAATAGATATTATATATAATGTTTGGTGTGCTTTTAATTAAAAGTTCCTTTTGTTCTATTTTGATGTTGGTCTTAGTTTGCTAATTGTCAAAGAAATTTGGTCAATTATATGCTCATTGCCCTCTGAAATATAGGAAATGAAGGGTAACAATTGTTCCACACCACATCAATTAAAATATGCTTGGACATATACCAATCATAACAAAAATAATTGCAACCATGAATCCGTACTATTGTAATAAGTATGATAGTATGGAGTCGGTTGTACCTCGACAGAACACTTGTTAAAATGTGTGTGTGTGTACAACTGAAAGTGATATACATTTAACATTATATAGTCACTTTTTTATTGAGTAGAGACTTATTTTGTAAGTTGTTGATATAATGAAATCCCTTTAGTTGGTTAAATGGATGGTTCATAAAGAGTTGATGATCTATAACTATATAAAACCAAGTGGGGAAAAAAATGAGAGGAATTTTATGTACATAAATTGTTGTTACACCAGAACATCGTATTTGATAATAAAAATGGGTAATCTTATACAAACACTGAGCTTTATTAACATGTTGATTAACCTGCATATTTTAAGCATTGATTTAAAAAAACTTCAGTGGCTATATCCTCAATATAGCAATATTGCATAATTGATAAGAAGCATTTGCAGTTACACATTAACTTGTCTTGTTGCTATACTGTATGGAAAGCTGTTTTTATTTTTATTTATTTTTTGGTACATGCCCCTAGTGGGAACCGAACCCGGGACTCTCTGGTCCGCAGGCCGATGCTCCAACCGCGGAGCCAAAGCAGCCAGGGCTGTTTTTATTTCTTGATAAAGGTTGGGAAGGGCTGAGACTCTGTCTAGTGTTATCTAAGCTGAGAAGACTCTCCAGTCTGGGAGACAGTTCCTCTCCTCTCTCTGTGCCCTGAGAACCGCTGGCCATGGCCCAGGAGGCTGACACCGACTGACACACACTGCGGACTAAAGAGACTGAATAAATAAATATATTTGATACTGTTCATTATGAGTGTTTACTATATGAGCGTATCGCATTCTCTGGACTATAAAATCTTTAAGGACAAAGAACCGTGTGTTATTCAAAATATTTTATTTTTAGAACTTATCGTAACATATTAACCATAGCAGGAGTTGATGCACCTGTCGGATGTCCTTTTGACTGCAAGTAACAGGAACCTCAGCGAGCCCGGCTTCGCGAAATGTAGGTCATCGTGTTCACAAGCAGGGGCACAGGGTGCGCATTCCTGTCCTGCGGAGCGCAGTCAGTAAACTCGCCATCACGCTGTCCCCGTTGTCGATGTGCAGGGTGGCTGTTACTCGCACCTTCTTCCGGGCAGGAAGAAAGTAGAGGGAAAAGGTTTCTCATTCTGATGTGTTCAGGTTTTTGCGGATGGGGACGTTTCTCCAGCAGACTTGCCCTCGCGTCTCATCCGTAGAACCAGGTCATATGCTTCCCTGGGCACAGTGGATGGACAGTGACATGAGGTCATCATGGAAGATTAGACCATTCGTGATTCAGCCTCTGGGTAGGGACAGGGGCTTATCCTCCGGGAGATCAATAGGTTCTGCATTTCACCCGAACAAATTGTGATTTAGCTATCAGCAGGGGACAAGGGGAACATCGGGCAGTAAATGGAAAATTTGTGTTATAATAAATATTACATGGATGGAATTAGATTTGTTAAAAGGAATTACTCATGTCATATGCTGTCCATAATTGCATCTCCATATATATATATATATTTGTATTTTTCTTGGCAAGATTCAATATGAGCAATTTGTTTCTTGGAGGATAATTACAAATGCGTAAATTCCTCTATATTTTTAGTTATGCTGGAAAAGAAAATATTCAATATTGAAAAGATGCATCGGTCCCTTCAATTTTATTTTTTTGAATGTAAGTCTTGCTTTCGTAGCTGCAAGGGAAATCCCAGAGTTAACCTGGTGTCCGTCCGTCCTTTGTCTTTTCTTAGGCCTTAGAAGATCCAGATGGACTTAGATTCCATTTACCGGTTCATCGAGGAAACGCACATCTTCGGGACGCAGCCGTCGGCGGGTAAAGCGCCCGGCGATGGAGATGCGGGGGCCCCTGGCGCGGCGCCCCGGGACCCCCGCCGGTCCCGCCGGCCCCCTGGGGGGCTGCAGCCCCACGCCGCGCCCAGCGCCCGCGCGCGCGCCGCCGAGTGGGACATCTGCGCGGAGCTTCGCCTGCGGGAGCTGGAGGCCGCCCAGGCCCGGGCTGCGCAGCTGGAGCAGACGATGCGCTGGTGGTCGGACTGCACGGCCACGTGGAGGGAGAAGTGGAGCAAGGCGCGCGCCGAGAGCACCCGCGCCAGGGAGGAGGGGAGGCAGCTCCGCCTGCAGCTGGAGAGGGCGGCCAAGGAGCTGAGCGCGCTGAAGCAGCAGCGGAGTCGGGCCCCCGGGACCGAGGCGCTGGAGGCTGGCGAGGCCCAGGCCCGGGCGCGCCCCGGCTTCCCAGCCGCGTCCTGTGGCGCAGGGGACCCGGCTCAGATTGGCTCGCAAACGTGTGAGTCTATCAGAGAGTGTTTGGTAAAAAGAGAATCCCCTACAAAGGAGAACACACCCAGTGTGGTAAGGAAAATACCAGAGGGACCAGAGACTGGCCTTGTTGGACTGTCCTCGCGGTGGCGGGAGGAAGGGGGACGCACAGACCGGGGGCACGGGGTTGGGTTGCCCCTGGGTACCGCAGTCCCGGTAGCTTCAGCAACAGGCAGTTTTAGGGGCCAGAAGTCTGAGATCCAGGTGTCAGCAGGGCTGGTTTCTTGAGAGGCCTCTCTCTTCCGCCTACAGACGCCGTCTTCTCCCTGTGTCTCTACGTGGTCTTTTCTGTGTACGTGTGTCCAAGGTTCTCCCTAGAGGACTGTCTCATTAGGCCACCTCAACCGTCCTTTTAACTTTGTCACCTCTATCAAGACCCTGCGCCCAAAGAAAGTCACCTTCTGAGGTCCTAGGGGTTAGGACCTCAGCACATGAATTTTAAGGGGAACATAATTCAGCCCATGTTCGTGATCTTACGAAATTCTTCTTGGCAAAAACTTGCCCAGCGTTTTTTATGTGAAAAGGAAATATGTGGAGAGATTTCTCTCCATGTGTCCTTGCTATGTCAACAGTACTATAAATTATCCATGCGGGAGTTTGAATGTTCCCCAAGGTTCGCAACTCTGTCCTCACAACTAACACCAGGAAAATGGGTACCCCAGGCCCTGCTTTCACTGAATGTGTCATACTCCTCACTCTTGGAACTTCTCGGTATAATTACACTCTCGAAGTTCCTAAAAATTCTGCTTGAGCCCTGGCCGGTTTGGCTCAGCGGTTGGAGCGTTGGCCTGCGGTACAGAGAGACCCGGGTTCGGTTCCCGCTAAGGGCACGTACCTCAGTTGCAGTTTGTCCCCGGCCCTGGTTGGTCGTGCGGGTGGCAGCCACTCGATGTGTCCCTTTCACGTCGATGTTTCTCTCTCTCTCTCTTCCTCTCTGTCCCTCCCACTCTATCTGAACAAAAAATGGAAAAATGTCCTCCGGTGAGGATTAAAAAAAAAAAAAAAAAAAAATTCTGCTTGAGATACACTGTTTAAAACTCTTTATTTAATCTAGCAGTTTATACACTTATTTATCCATTTAACCACTCCTTCCCACCCACCCGCTTTTTTTAAAACCTGGTAATTACTATTAACATACTTTAGGAATCTGGGTTATCCCTTTTCATAGTATCAGTTTATATCATTACCTCTTTCTATGTAAATACCTGAAAACATGGGATGGTTCTTTTTTTTTTTTTGCACAGATAGAGTAGGAGGGAGAGAGAGGAAGGGAGAGAGAGAGAGAAACATCGATGTGAAAGGCACACATCGAGTGGCTGCCACCCACACGACCAACCAGGGCCGGGGACAAACTGCAACCGAGGTACATGCCCTTAGCGGGAACCGAACCCGGGTCTCTCCGGACCGCAGGCCGATGCTCTAACCGCTGAGCCAAACCGGCCAGGGCGGGATGGTTCCTTTTTAATGCCATCTTAAATTACAAGTCTTCCCATGATGTATGTAGGTCATAGTAGACAGAAATTTCCTTGTACATGGAAACTTCTAAAAGATTGCAACATTCTAATTACTTATGTTTATTTATTCTTCCAGGTTTGTTTTAAATATATATATATTTTTAAATTGATAATCTAAGCTGTTAGTCCTTTTGTGTACAATTTTGGGAAACTGTTATCTGTTCTCAAAATTCAACTGTGTTAATGTATGCATTTGAATGCCTTGATGGAGATGAGGGGTTCTAGCTCAGATACGTTGCTCTGAAAGTACAAATTATTTGTTATTACAAGTAATAGACACCACATTTGAGAATATGAAAGATTCTCTTCACATATATTTTGCTGAGAGATTTTCAGTATCTTGGGACTTCATTTGGAATATTTTTGTATCATCAGTGCCAAGAACATCGTACACAGTAGGTATTTATTAAAAGTCTATTTATTTAGGGAAAATAGATAGTTACAATTCCTTATGATGGTAGTGAATTAAGTATTGGCTGTTAAAGAAGTTTGAATTAGCTGTTTTCATTTTTATCAGTTTTCCTACCAACTCTAAAGACACATACGTGTGAATGGATTATCTGTCTTACCATAGTATTTTCCAAGGAGAACAACATGTCTTATTTTATTGTTTTTCAAAGTGATATACATAATAACCATTAATTGTGGAGAGAATGAAGAAATGAATCATACTAGTAACCTAACATGTATGTGCTACTTTTAAAATAAATACTAAAGATTAAGTATCATTAAGACTTTATTTGAACTTGGCTATTAATTGAGAGTTTATTTGAACTTGGCTTTATCTCACTTTAAACCCACAAGTCAGGGAAAATTTAAATCATAGACAAACATCTATAGCCTGAGTCTGGCGAAGTTTTGGAATCATGACGTAAGATTGTGAGACAGTGCACAGCTCTGATAAATGATGCTCGTGCACATTAAAATGCCCCGTTAAACTCGATTTGACATTTAACTAGCGATCTAAGAAATAATTCAATAAACGAGCCTATTAAAACATCCAAGAGTTCCTTGAAAATTTGTTCTTCTCTGTCCTTCAAATACAGCTGTCTTCTCTTTGAAACTCTCAAGTGCCTTGTGACAAAATAAACTTGAAGGAGAAATTCATAGACTCATTAAATAACTCTTTACAGCTGTTCAAGTCCATGCAAACTATTTTTAGCCATGATTAGAAAAAGAAAAAAACTTAAACTAAAAGTTAAAGCAGATTTTTTGAGAAATGTATTTGATTATAATAAGGTAGAACCTAGAAAGAAAGACGAAGAAGAAGAAAAAAAAAACACTTAAAGAATGCCAGTTAAGCCCTGGCCAATGTGGCTCAGTTGGTTGGGCTTTGTCTGTGCCCCAAAAAGTCACTGGTTCGATTCCCAATCGGGGCGCATGCTCTGGTGATTCCCGGATGTCGGGCTTGATCCCCAGGAAGGTGCGTGCAGGAGACAGCTGATGGATGTTTCTCTCTCATGGTTGTTTTCTTTCTCTCTCTCTCTCCATTCCTCTCTCTGAAATCAAAACAATCATATTTTAAAAAAGCTGTGGCCAGTTTGGCTCAGTGGTTGGAGCATCGGCCTGCGGACCAGAGAGTCCCCGGTTCAATCCCTGCTAGGGGCACGTACCAAATAATAATAATAATAATAACAACAAAATAAAAATAAATAAATTAAAAAAGACTGCAAGTTAAAGCTTGGCCACATAACACGATTAGAGAATGACTAAAAAAATGAAACTATGAATTTGATCCTGAATTGTAATGTGTATTTCCTTCCAAAAACATGGAAATATTCTGCATGGTTTTTCTACTGGGAGATTTAAGAATTCTACAGTAATAGTTGTTTTATGTTGTTTCCTTCAGGAAGAAGGCTTGATTCTCCACCCGTTAGGATTAAATGAGGAGGTGAAACGCTGCTCGGATCGTCTTGATGTATTCGAGAAGGGCAGTTCCGAAAACTGTGCAGTGAAGCCTGGGCTAAGACAGCACCCAGGGCATCCGCCTTTGCAAAATGAAGCACCCAAAATTTCAGCTTTGCAGGTGCATTTGGATGAGTTCCAAAAAATCTTAAGGCAAGAAAGAGAGTAAGTATAACAGTGATCAGTACCATCAATGTCTCCCTTAACCAAGTCTCGTTTTTCGACTTCTTAAAATTGTTAAATCTAGCAAGCCGGCCATTTGAAAATGCATTTTACCCATGATTTAGTCCTTCTGTTCCATTGTTTACAAAATGAGTTTGATATACTGTATTCGTTTTTTAAATGTTGGCATGCAGCTGATACTTTCTTAGTTTTTATTCTTCCTCATAACCTTGCTCTCACCATCTCCGGTAGATTCACCTTATTTATATTTGAATTATTAGTGTATGGGGTTAAAATAGCCAGAGTATTATCTATACAGGGAGTCAATAAAATGAAAATAGACTAATATTAATAACAGACAAATCACAGTTCTGTGATGTATTGACAGAAAAAGATACCTTGGTCGTTGACCACTTTTGGTAAAGAGGAGAGGGCCGTGGTCTGGAGAGTCATCGATCTGGGTGCTCAGATCTGTTTTGCTCAACCTTTTTTGCTTAGCTGATGGTAGGCTATTTTGTCCTCAGTGAAACTATGGATAGTGATGCTTATGTTCCAGTTTGCTTTTGTTCAGTCACAGAACTTCCCAAACGACAGCTATTGAAGCAACAGTCGCCACATGCCTGCTCAGGGGTCTGGGACACGGCTGTCCTGGGCGTGGCGTCAGGGCAGCGCAGGCTGGGGGCTGAAGCCACCCCGGAAGGTGGTGGCTGATCTTAGTTCTCGCCTCGGCCTCCGTGGGGACCCCTGCATGTGGCCTGTGCCATCTGTGTGGCTTCTTGGTCCCCTCACAGCATAGGGCTGGCTAGGTAGGAGTGAACATCTTACAGGCACAGAGAGAACTCGATGCTGTTTTTTTTTTAAATCCTCATCCGAGGACATTTTTCCATTTTTTGTACAGACAGAGTGGGAGGGAGAGAGAGGAAGAGAAAGAGAGGGAAACATCGATGTGAAAGGGACACATTGAGAGGCTGCCACCCGCACAACCAACCAGGGCCAGGGACAAACTGCAACCGAGGTACATGCCCTTAGCGGGAACCGAACCCGGGTCTCTCCAGACCGCAGGCCGACGCTCTAACCGCTGAGCCAAACCGGCCAGGGCTATGCTGTTTTAATGACCTTGCGTCAAAGTCGCTTGGCATCACTTCTGTCATGCTTACTGGTGGAGACGACCACACAGGCTGATGGGATCCAGGAAGAGGGACACCCTCAGTGGCAGGAGGGTCAAAGTCAAGTGATAATAGCACGTAGGAAGCAGCCACTGTGGCCCCCACCTTTGGAAAATGCAACCTGCCGATGCGGTTCTCACTGAATCCTTAGGCGGGTCAAACACAAGTAACGACTGGGAAACTGACCACTAGTACAAATGACTCTATATACTGTTATTCTTTTTTTTTTTAAAGTATTCAGTTTTATTAACTTCCTATGTGAGGGAATATTCCGGGGATATCTGATGCACTTTAAATGTCATATATCATATAATATCATATATTATATAATGGTTTCAGTTTCCATGGTTTAAATAGATTTAAGCAGGGATGAGTACACGCACAAACATTTCACAAATGCTGCATTTGATCTGCCATTCCCTTTCTGCCAACCAGAAGTTTCTTTAGTCCCTCTGATATTTATTCATACCACTAACTTCTTCTTATACCTCGCGACGTGCATAGATTGTGATAATACAGCATCTGGGTATAGAATGAGTATTTATTATTCTGCAATCAGCTATACATTTGTAGTAGAGGCGATCAACATCAGCAGCAAAGGGAATACAATTGAATTAATTTTTAGACCTGCTCCCGTGGTAACACCGTCTGGAACTGCAGGTCTCCGTTAAACTCTAAACTCCGTGTGTTAGTTCCTGAAGGATTGAGCTTTTTAGTGGCTGTAGACCTCTCTCGAGAGTACACACTGTGCAGCTTCACTGCCATAATGTCACGAGAGCAACAGGACACTGTCTCCCGGAGGTCACCTCCCTAAGGTGGTCTGGACACACCCGGGCTCACTGACACACATGTGCACGTGCATGTCCATTCGACTTCCTTGGAGTAAATGAACAACCTCCAGAGAAGTAAATTCTCGGCAGCTGCACACCCCGGACAGGCCAGAGAATAAGCGGGAAGGGGCCTTCGATTCTCCTCTGTCTCCTCACCCTCCTTGGGGAGCCCTCCCAGGGGTCGTGTCACGAATAATCACCAGCGCGTCATCCACAGGAGGCCGCTGCAGAGCCTCTCTTTCTGTCGCAGAGTGTTTCCCAAGGACAGAGCGACACAGCCGCTGTAAATCTGCTTAATTTCGCAGAGGCCTGGAATCTCAGCCAGGGGGTGGCTGATGCTGAGAAGATGGGAACGTGGTGTTTTCTGTGTTCCCAGCCGGTGGGAACATTCCCCGACGGGAGCTGGGGCGTCAGGGAAGAACTGAGGGAGACGTTCCCACCGTCATCCCACAGGGAACCCCTCCCCGAATTCGCGGATTACATCACTTGTACTCGCAGGACTGTTCAGGGTTCTGTGTAATTATCCGGTGTCTGAGAATTTGCCAGCAGCCTGTGCTTTGGGTGTTGAATTAAGAGAACCATTGAAAGGCCAACTCCAGGGGCTGTCCCCTGTGATTTCTACCAGGAAATTTATGGCGTTAGGTCTTCCAAGTCTTCTATTTATTTGAGTTAACTTTTGCGCATTTCTGCCATTTTTCACTCCCCAGTACCTCTTTGCGTTTAGGAGGTTGTTTGCCCAACGAGACAGAGTGTGTTTTCGTGCACAGACTACAAAGTATGTAGTGAGTTTCTACCTTGGTCTCCCTTCCACCTAGGGAGCACGCATTTGATCTGGGAGCCGGCTTCAGAGGTGCCCCCCCGGGTCTTGGCAAAAGCGAATGCTCCCGGGAAGGCGGCACCCCGAATCCATCCTGGTGAAGAGGAAGGCGGGGTGGGGGCTACATCCTGTTTCCAGGGGACCAGCCGCCTCTGGTCTCTCTTGCCAGCATCCCGTGTCTCGTTGTGGTATTGAGGCCGTGCCTGCTAGCTGGACCTTAGTGAGGCTGGGTGCTGCTGATGGGAAGACTTCAGTGGCTTTCAGGGTGTTACTTCTGGCTTCATGCGGTCCCCATTTCCTTCTCCGACTCCCCCAGAGATTCTCTGAACGATTGATATCCTTTCTCCTGCTTAAATCAGCTGCTATGAATGTATTTGCCCGTCAGACACTTAAGGGTACAGGAGCGTGTAAGGGCATCGGGCAGGGAAGGCGGAAGCACTGGGGTCTTCCCAGACCTAGTTCTGTGACCCCCGAGTCGCCTCATGCCTGGAGGCGTCACCTCCGAGCCTTGGGCTCTGGTCCTCCCAGATGTCCCCGACCATGACGATACTCTTTAAAAGTCTTTTCTAATTAAATACACTATATACGGCTTTGGCTATTTGATGACAAAAGCTTAGGATGTAACTATAAATAGTCGGGCATGCAGTCAGAAAATAGCAAACATGTTGAGCATTGAAAGTCTATGTATACACATGTCATTATTTCCTGTTTAACACTCGGTTGACTTCTGGACTTCATGTGGGTATCTACATGTCATTGCCAGTGAATTATTTTTGTCTTGCACAAACATTTGGCATCAATAGGATTTTAAGGAAATACTGATTAGGTATTTTACAATGAGTGTTCACGTCGTTCAGAAATGATTACTTATCCCCAGATATTAATGTGTCAGGAATTTCTGTCTCTGAAAAATATTCCATTTAATCTTCCTGTTTAGATGTCTGAGTTATATGCCCGATTATTATGGGATCATGATTGTTTACACAGTACCAAAAGATTGCAGAGAAATCTAATCATGCTTTCCATAAAATCATTTTGGTTCACCCTTTATTTAATATTCTGCAAATTTTCTATGTTTTAGCACTAGGACTTTGAAACGTTTATATCATCATATCAAATGCTATATTTTTTGCTGAGTTTATCTTAACTTAGTTTTTTAAATAATTTGTGCATAAACTATGGAATATTTTTAGTAAAATTATGTTTTTTCTTTGCCTTCTCATAGTTCAAATAATATGATAGTTTAAATTTAACTGTGTAAGTAGTCAACTATGAAAATCTTTCTAAAATATAGAATACATTTATTAGGCTAGAGAATGAAGGATTTAAAGAGCGCCCTCTGCTGTGTAAATTTAAGTGTGCAACGTCCTTATTGTGTGCTTGCAGAAATAGTCAAACCTTTTGATGAGGCCAAATTAAAAATATCCAAGAATCACATTGACATTACTTTTTATGAATTACTTGTCCTCTCACTAAAATTTACCTTTTTACATTATAAAAATACAAAATTTTCTTGTAAACAATTATTAGTTATTTTATTCAAGATATATACTGAGGAATAAATAAATATACTACATTTAAGTATTACTAATTTGCCTTAAATAAAGAATACAAATAGTTATTCATTTTATATACTTTTACAAAATTATATTATTTTTATCTTATGAACTGACAGGATAGGTATGCTAAATCTAGATATAATCTAGAGATAGTCGGATCTTTAGAATGTGTCTATATTTATATGTAACTAAGATTAAAAGTATAACAAATAGCTTGAAATGTTTTTCTTGAATTTCTCATAATTCCTAGAAGGATTAGCTAACCCAGTAATTTTGATGACTTTTTTGAGAATTGGCATTTATGCTACAGTAATAATAAATCACTTTTATGTTAATGCGAGCTCTCTTGGCTGACATTATAATTTGATTTATTAAAGTATAATGTTAAAAGCTGGTGTTGATTTTTTCAACATGTATGATTTTGAACTTGTAAATTTAAAAATCCAGACTTTTCTCCAATTTTCAAATTATTCTACTTATGAATATATTCTCAAAATTATTTTAAGGAGAAAAATTTTAATGTATGCTTCAAAACACAAATGTAATTAATATCCTTGAATACAAAATGTTAATGTTTTATGTACACTTTTTCCTTAAAACATTTTTAATTCCTCAGAAAAAAATCAATCCCATGTTGTATTGATGCAACTCCAATAAATTAAAATACAAGGGAAAGCAGGCAGAAAGTCAATTATTTTGAACCTGGCAAAGCTAAATGAAATATACTTAACCAACTGTAAAGCTAATTGACAGAATAACAAATTAAACTCGGTTTTGCTCAATATTTATGATTTCTAGTACATTGAACCGGTTTTCTGTCATCACCACGATCATATATAAATATAGACAGTTAGGGAGAGAGCACCTCTGGCTTTGAACGCATTCCCCACACGATCGCCCCACGGTAAGCCTGTTTTGCTCTCATCATTTAGCATGCGCTCCTCCCTGGAGCGAGAAATAGAGCGGCTGCAGTCAGCTGTGTCTTCGTGGAAACAGAAGTATGAAGAACTGAACGCGTCGACGTCCAGAACAAGGAGAGAGGTACGGAGACTTAGGAGGGGAGGGAGACACGGCACTGAGGGCTCTCTGGTCCATGTGTAACCCGGGGCTCCACAGGCCCAAGGAAAGGGGTTCGAAGTGGAACTTCTGCTGTAGGAGGAATATTTCAACTCATGGGTCACTGGTGGACTCAGTCAAACTCAGGCCATAAGAAATTATGTTACAAATCTCTCTCTCTCTCTCTCACACACGCACACACACGCACACATTTTTAGACAGGGAGGAAGGGGGAGAGAAAGGGGGAGAGAGAGAGAGAGAGAGAGAAACACAGATGTAAGAGAGGAAGATCAACGTGAGAGAGACACACCGATCTGCACTTTGGCCGTCAAACCCGAAACCGAGGTATGTGCCCTGACTGGGAATAGAACCTGTGACCTCCTGGTGCACAGGACGACGCTGCACCACAGCAGCCAGGGCCATAACATTTATTTTTAATGATCAACCACATGACACAATGAACGATTCATTTCAGGCACATTAGAGGGTGCTGCTGAAGACGTCATCGTATTGCGACATCTATATCAAATAATTTTGTCTTCCTCTTTTATAAAGCAGTCTGAAACTATCAGCCTATCTCAAGAGTGTTTAGGTTCTTTTCATATTGACATTATGTCATTCAGGATCAGCTACTTGCCTTTCTATTTTGCCTTTGCATTTTCATCAATAAAATGCTGTCATGAATCCTTTGCATGTCACTGGTTTTTAATATTCATTATCACATGGTGGAAAGTTCAGGAACCTTGGTTGCCAGAATATGCCCTACTTCTGGGACAGAGGCAGGCACCCCAAGGGCCAATGGGTACAGAAATGACCAGGCACAGGTTCAAACTCACTCTGTGGACCACTGAGGTTGGAAAGGAGGGAAGGATTTCCCTGATAATCCTAACCGTGTCTCCTGCTTAAAAATCATTTACTACAAAAAATAATTTCAGTGAGAACCACAGAAAGTTAGTTTGAGAACATTTCTCAGTGAGGGGTAAATTAAACAATAAAAGCTAACAAGCTATTTTACATTTATTTCCCCTTAATGTATTTATGTTGAGTATAAGAGTGGTTTTGTTTCCAGCTTACCTATGGATGTGTACACACATGTGTTTATGTATGGACTCAATGTTGGTTTTCACAGGTAGCTCACTGAACATGATGTCTTAGGTGTGAACATCAACAGGAAACTAATTTTATACAGGAGAAATAGTTCGAAGCACACAAATCATGTCATTCTTAGAGTGTGTGTGCATTTGTCCTATAATATAACCGGCTCTAAATTTAATTGAGAAAGGATATTTAAGATAGAATTGGTCTTTAATTTTCAAAGAAACATACATTTACTGTACGTTGCCTCGAGGGGGCAGTGCAGACTTGATAATTTAGTCTAACCGCTTTTTATATAAGTAATGTCACATTTATGTAGCAACTATTTTTGAAAAAAGTTATAGTTTTGATTTGGCTTATAAAGTGATATGTATATTTTAAAATGATTAATCTATTCTATTCAATGATGGCATTTTGGGCATCAGGTTGAAAAATGTGTATTTTGAATCGGTTAACAAAGCTTTATAGATGAGGGGGAAAAAATAGAACCAATGTAGCATTTACAGATAAATTAGGTTTATATTTTGATGCCTAAACATAAATATATATTAATACATTTGTGATGTTTTTACCAGGTAAGATAAGGATAGTGTTGTTATAACGGGGAAAAAAACAACCCTCAAAATTGCCAGGGAATCTTTGTTCAACTGTTCAAATAGTTGAGTGCATTATCCGACAGAGGGACTGTGAATTCGAGCAATGAATGAAAGTGACAATGAATGAAAAAAAGTTGTTATCATAGATGATGGACAGTGAATTTAAACAGAGATTAAAAAAAAAACTTTGAATTATTGTTATGGGTATTATTTTTTAAATATCCCTTTCCACTCCTAAAAAAGGAATTTGTGGTTTTCTTAGGGCCCCTTTAAAAAGATGTGGTATGTGCTCTAGACGTTTTGGCTCAGCGGTAGAGCATCGGCCCGCAGTCCAGAGAGACCCAGGTTTGGTTCCCGCTAAGGGCATGTACCTTGGTTAGTTTGTCCCCGGCCCTGGTTGGGGTTGTGTGGGTGGCAGCCAGTTGATGTGTCTCTCTCACATCAATGTTTCTCTCTCTCTTTTCCTCCTTCTCTTCTTCCTGCTCTATCTGAAGATAAATGCAAAAATGTCCTCGGGTGAGGATAAAAAATAAATAAAAAGATGTGGCATGCACATATATTTAAATTATTTTTGTAAAATATTATAAAAGTTTTAAATATTAAAAACTGAATAAATAAAAGTATTTAGCCATAGGTTATTATTTACATATACTTTGTTTAATTGTTTTATAATAGATGATAACAGAACAATATTTTTATGGTACATTTAGAAATGGCATTTTAGAATAATTATAAGTGTAAAATATTCAAAGTTCCAGTATAGTTGACTTATAATAAAAAATTACGTCATGATACATCTTTAGTATTGTACTTCATATGGATTCTCCTTATTCATTTCTCAGAAAGTCTGAAAATGGCCTTTGCTTTCACAAATGGCCTTTGCTTAGCCCTTCATCTACCACCCAAAACATTTTGAATACAGTGTAATTCTTTTTTAGATGCTAAAACAGTTACAAACAAAAACATGCCTGGCTAGGAACTGCTGATGGAAAGATTAGTAATTTTTAGAGTTGGAAACAGATGTGCTTAATAGACCAAGATTTTAAAAAATGTTTTTGAAAGTCTATGTGCTTTAACAGGAAATCATTGTTAAATCACTGATATTTAGAGAAGAGTAAACATAAGAATTTAATTGTAAAATCTAATAAGTATTCAAAATGCAACCCACACTATGAGTACTAGAGATGATTACACTGAAATGATATTCCCATGCTGAATTGAATCCTTATTTTGCTTATCCTTTGCAAGTCTGTAAATATTGATTTGGGATCAGATTATGAGTTCCAAGTGTGCTGAAATGATCATTTTTATGAAATCTCATCATCTAGAAAATCAAATGTTCATGTAAGTGATAATGATTACAAATAATTTGTGTGCCTTGCTTTCATAATAAACGACTCTTATTCTTTCCATAATGGAAGAATTACCCTTTACCCTACGCGGAGAATACTGCTAACATTTAACAATGAACGTCAAACCGAAAAATGAAATGTAATTTATTAAATCTTCTTAGAAAATGCGCTTTTACCTGGTAACTTTTTAAGGATTTTAGTGAGACATCTTTTTCTGTGTGGTAATAACGACGTTTCTAGCAGCTTATAATTTACTGTGTTCTTTGATGAAACTGTGTAGTAAATACTTAGAGACACAGGCTTTAGGGGCCTCAGCATGGTACTAACAGCTGACACTGAAGCTTTAATTCAAACACCTCAATGCGCCTTCTGATCTGGGGCAAATAAGGCTGGAAATAGGAGTGACGTGGAGCTAAAACCCTATGCGGATACCTTCAGTTTGAAAGAGGTTATGTTATGTGGGATTTACTCTGCATATGTCAAGAGAGGTCATGATCGGCCTCGGTCCCTCTCTGTGTGTGCACGGCGGCCCCAGCGGTTCTGGCTCTCAGGAGAGTCCTGGCAGCACCCCAGGTCCGCCGTGTTTTCCGTCTGGAACCGTCCGGACACTGTCCCCTGCCCCCTGCCGTCACCTCGCCCTTCCCCGCAGGGCACACTCACCTACACTTTACCCACAGGCCTGGCTTCAGTCCGGAGCATCCCTCCCTGCTCCCTTTTCCTCGAAGCCATGCGAGAGGCTTTTCAAAGACCTCATGCCCTGTGTGGTCACTGTGTGCCCTGGCGGGGACCGGCCACTTCATGGGACCGCGCACGGCTGCTCCGTCCCGGCCCGCCCGGGGCTGGGCACCCGCGGCTCTGACCCACGGAGGCCAAGGCTGCTTCCTCGAGCGCTGTGCTGGTGGGCAGGACGGGGCTCCGGCGGTCATGGGGACAGCAGCTGGGATCCTAGGCTGGACTTTCTTTCGCTTCGCAGCCCTGAGGACTTCCCATTCTCCCGGGCTCTGGAGTGACCGTCCGCACACTGGCCACTGGCAACAGTAAAATGGTGCCACTCTTGTTGAAACCTCCGTGTCCTTCCTGTAGGACCTTCCCTCCGACACCCTGGCCCTCTTTCTCCGTGGGACGCAGAGTAGCTGTGGGGAAGTTGGGGGTCTTGCACACAGTGGAATCTATTTTTGGATGTGTCTATTAGATATACCTAGTCAAAGCTCTTTCCTCTCCGAAATATATTTGACAATGTACCACACTTTTTAAAAAACAGCATGGAAGATCTTTTTTTTTTAAAGAAAATCTGTATTTGTGGGTTACAAACGTCAGAGAGTGATGCCCCAAACAGCAAGTAGGCCTGTGTGTGATGCTGTGGGCTCATGAATCCTAATTCATTCCAAGGAAGAGATCATCTGTTCGGAGAGAAACCAAACCTTCTCTACACAAATGATGTTACAACATCACTGTCATACTACAAGGTGATATACAGGAAACATCTAGGGGAAATCTCATTTTTAGTTATTTAGTAAGTTATTGCTAATAATTTATATTATTTTTTTAGGATTTTGTGGTATTTTATGGTATTTGATAGCTTTCTAAAACCTGTGAATTGTTGTGTCCTCCTTTTAGATAAATATGCATTTTCATTCTTAGTTGGCTTTGTCCCCAAATTGTGGAAAATTCAGGCTTCGTAAAACCCGAGTAGACTCATATTCCTCCGCCTTCCCTTCGCTCAGCCTCAGACACGGCGCCAGGTGGCGCTGGTCTGCAGGCTCCGACCGGCCCCCATCCAGGGGGCACAGCATCGCTCACTCACTACAAGGGATCCTTTGCTTGCTTTCTCCTCCCTTGGGAGTAATGACCTGGAGGACAGAGACCCTTTGATGCTCCTTCAATGCTGCAGGGTCTGATTTAGTGAGGAGGGGTCAATAGATACCTGAGCGAGGACTTAATG